TTAAAAATGTTTGTTATAATAACGATAGGATATGGATTTAATGAATTTGTACAGATTTCTCCAACATAGGTCAACACGTCCATTTCTTCGCTGTCGATAAAGTTATTCGCATTTTCTTCTGGCTCGTTGCACATTTTATACAGGGTGCGTCATCTATTAGTTTTTTTTTCTATTTGAAAAATCAACACGCTTTTTACGTGGTGAGATCGAATTTTTTTATTGATAAATGAAGGTTGGTTTATGCCATTTATATATGAAAAATAACATCGGTCATTTGACCAGCGCGGCTTCGTTTACAGGCCAACATACGAACATCAAAATTTTCAATGACTTTTCCCAGAATAATCGGGTCTATGTCCGCAATTCCAGTCCGAATATTGCGCCTTAGGTCTTGAATTGTCCGGGGACTATTCGCATACACTTTTCCTTTCAAAAATCCCAAAAGAAAATAGTCAAGAGGTGTTTGGCGCGATGTGTGAGCGGTTGCTCCGTCTTGAAGAACCCCGTTGACGGTAATGGCCTTTTCTTCGGCATCTTCAAAGAAGAATGGTCCAACGATGCCACCAGCCAATAATCCGCACCAAACAGTCACTTTTTCAGGATGGAAAGGTTGTTGATGATATTGGTGTGGATTTTTTGACGGACAACTAGAATAATAGGACTCAGTGCATAAGTATACCGAATGCAGATACGTATTATTTGTTGTTAGGTATGGTCGTTTCTTACCATTATTCATAAAAATAGCGAAAATAAAATAAGAGTGTGTAGAGTCAAATTATTCGTAAGAAAATGATCTCTTAGAAACAACTAACTGGCCACCCCCGTTCAATTTGAAAAATCAAGTAAACTGAAAAAATTAGTGTTTGGCACTTTTAGAAAGTATTTAACACTACTGGAAGGCGGTTCGCCTCAAAATCGTGTTTTCCTGTGTTACTTGATCAAAAATAAAGCGATTTACAGCTTGGAATTATAGATAGAAAAATATAAAATTGAAATAAAAGTGACTTTATTTGCCAAATATTGACAAGTGAGGCGTTGTTGAGTTTAGAATGTGATTCTCGATCGAAATAAGTAACTACGTCAAAGCAAGTGAATATGCCAAATCTAAATTCATCTATAATACGCAACCCCCAAATTTAGTTTTCCATTATTCGATAATAAAATACGTTATAGGGGTGAGCCACCTTGGAGAATCATCCGATATATGGTCCTGACTTATGACCTGTTCGATTTCTTCATTTAAACTTCGTAGACTGCTTCTAATGAGCCAGTGTATGGCAACTGACGAGAAAGCTGGGACCTTTCATTCTACCGGGAGATCATCATTTTTACAAGTTTAAGCCATTAGACATGTAATTTTATCTAATAAAAAAATATGTTCGTCGTAGGTGGCTGTGAAAAATAAAAGCCATGACAATTGTTTTTATTAATCACAGCTGTCAGAATACGTTTAAAATAGTTTTGGGTAGTTAAGGTTTTCAAAATGGGTAGAGGAAAGGTTATTAGTGAGAAAATTCAATTCAATTCAATGGACTTTATTGTAACACATACATAATTATGTATCCTTACAAATGGCGAAGTCTGGCCAAAGGCCATTTATAATTAACCATAAATGTCATGTCAATGCTTATTACTACGTTAAAAATAAAATAAAAAACTGAAAAAGAAAAGGAAAAAGAAGAATAATAGTAAAAGAATTAATAAATATGACATAATGCGAACGATTAGAACAAAAAACATAATACGTACGATTCAAAAAGAAGAGCTCAATAAGTAGTTCTTATATTTTTTTTTAGAAAAGTTGCTGATGAAACATTGTTCGAAAGAGTTGATCAATTTCACCGCATTATACGTAAAAGACCGTTGAAAAATGGCTGTCCTATGTTGTGGCATTGTCAGGAGATTAATGTTGCGCGTATTCAAATTGTAAATTAAATTCCTACGAACAAGCTTTTGCATAGGATAAACCGGAACAGAAGTTTTTAATATTTAATTTAATATCAAATGTAACAAAGTTGTATTTGAAAAGATCAGAAATTTTCAACTAATTCATTGAAGATATTGAGTGAGAAACATGATCGTACCTTCTTAAATTGTTTATGTAACGACTACATGAGTTTTGAATTTTTTGCAGTCTGCATTTTGTGATTTCATCCAGACAGGGATAATAAACTATGTTGCAGTAAGCGATTTTACTGAGTATGAGTGACTCGCATAACATTTTCTTAATTTTTCTATTTAAAACAGTTTTACTTGCATATAGAAGCCTGAGTCTAAAATAACTAGACTTACACACATAGCCAACTTGCTCCTGAAATCTGAAATCTTCATCCAAGTACAAACCTAAATTTTTTGCAGAATGGGAAAATATTAGGATACTATTATTTAGTGATAAATTTAACTTTGATTTGAGGAAAGTACGTTTTTTTTGGAGCAAAAAAGTATAGCTGTCGATTTCGATGCGTTTAGACGTAAATTATGTTTTGCAGCATATGTGCATAAGTATTGCAGATCTTGATTGATAAGGTTGTTAGCTACATGGTAGTTGTTCGGACAGAAATTATGATAAACCTGCATATCATCAGCATATGATTGACTAGAACAATGTTGAAGGGTGTTAGAAATGTCAAAAGTGTGTATAAGGAATAAAATAAATAATATGGATCCCTGAGGCACGCCGGGACAAATCGGCCTTTTGTTTGAAAGTTTATTTTGTATGACGACATATTGATGTCGTTCATTTAAATAGCAATCTATCCATTCCAGAACCAAGTCGTCACACCCAATGTATTTACATTTAGAATCAAGCAGCTTATGATTCAGGGTGTCAAAAGCCTTGCTGAAATCCAATAAGACTAATGCAGTTGCTTCTTGCCTATCCGCCGCTGTTAGTACATCGTCACAAAATTCGGTTACTGATAATTAAATTTTTTAATTCTGGGAAATCAAACTCAGAAATTGCAACTTTGTTAGACTTATCGCGGTACAGTGTGAGAAATATTGGTGGAAGATATAACGTAACTGGTCCAGTTAATATTAAGCCACGATATGTGAAAAAAAGTAATATCACAAATGCCGACCGAAGAGCATTAAGAAGAATAATCTGTGGAGTGACGCTGTTGGAAGGAGAATTTCGAGTTCCACAACTCATAGAGAGGCCCACAAACTGGGCTTTAGCACTTGCAAGGTAGGTTTTCTTATAAAAAAAAGAGAAGTAAAAACCCTAAGGTTGCACAACTGGTTAAGAAAAGCCACTATTAACTCCACTGCAAAAGAAAAATCGGCTTAGATGGGCTAAAGAACATAGACAATGGACACCTCAACAATGGTGTGCAATACAATGGAGTGATGAGGCCCGATTCGAAGTTTGTGTTGGAGACAGTCGCAGTAGAGTTATTCGCAAAAAAATGAAGCATTCCATGTTGACTGTCTGAAGAGAAAAGTGAAATTTCCAGCATCCATTATGGTCTGGGGCAGTATGTCATCAAAAGGAGTAGGAAAACTTCATTTTATTGATGGAAATGTGGATACAAACAAATATTTGGCAATTTTAGAAGAATCGCTTTTACCAGTGATGGAAGAATGTTTGACATCCGGCCAAGATTTTGTGTTTCAGCAAGATGGTGCAGAGTGCCATACCTCAAAAAAGTCTATAAAATGGATGGAAGAAAATAATGTACCACTTTTGAAATGGGTTTCTAGCAGTCCAGATATGTCACCTATTGAAACTTCGTGGCACGAGATGAAAAATGTTCTACGACAGCATCCTGCTCGTACAATCACCGAACTGAGACAAAAGCTTCAAGAAATATGGGATTGTTTTACACCAAATTTTTGCCAAAACTTGGTTAACACTATGCCCCAAAGAATCTCAGCCGTAATAAAAAATAAAGGTGATGTTACCCAATGGTAATCTTTCAATTGTTGCTTTGTTAACTTCGCCCATTTATTCGCACATTGTTTATTTCTTCAGATGTTCTATTAGTTATAGGTCTAAGTGATTTCAAATATGTATTTTTTACGACTAGAATATATTTAAAATGTTTTTGAGAAAATAAATTGTTTTAGAAGTAAATAGTTTCGTCATGCTTTGTTTATAAATGCATATTTTGGTACAAATCTTGAAGTGGGAAGGGGCTCGCATATTCTGGTCATTCTATATCTTCAAAACAGAGAACGACAGCATTGTAAAAGGTTAATTATCAAGGTACAAAAATAGATAGATCAAATCTGCGGATATAATAATTATAACAATGCATATCAATGATGTAATGTCATAGTTACTTTTGCATTTTTATCAAGAAGCTAGCGTGATACAATGCAGTTGTACCTTTACTAAGTGCGTGAACGATCTTGTAAACCATTCGCGTTATATGATTGAAATCTAGTGTCAGATATCATTTTTCACGATCAAGTTGATTAACACGAATCAGGTGAAATATAGATAGATAATATTTACTGATACAATCGCACTTCTGCGTACATTTTGTTTATCCAGTTTAATGGTAAGTAAAAATCTTACAGGATTTGACATTACATCTTTGCAGACTGGCCTTTTCCATTTACTAGCCGTATAAATATTTTTTAAATCCAGCTTATAAAGTTTTTTCGGGTGCTGTATCACGAAAATTTGTGCAGAAATCATTTGTGTCTATCTAAATCTGTATCTGTATCGCGAAAACTCAATGTTAGATACGATAAGCTGCACTCCTAGGAAATCGTTGGTAATGCAACTTATTCACTTTTCCAAAAACTGTAGGGGGAGTCCGGGAGAGTATACCCACCTTCCACTAAAATGCTTTTAAGTCTTTACACGCTTACAAATCTTCATTTCCGATAAATTATATCTTAGAACGCATTATTTAGCTACATTTTTTCTCAAGAAAGCTTAATGTAGCATTAAGAGTTTACGAGTTATCAACGATTTCTGCCAAGGTGACATTCGGCTAATATCTCCCGCATGGGTGGGAGACTTGACCCCTCGAGTAGGGAGCCTTTACCCTCCACTTTAGGATTAGGCAAAATAATCATTACACATTGTAAATCTATAAATTTAATTAAAAAAATATGGCACATAGTATTACCTGAACCTACTCCATCTTTCACATAACTAGGTAACAAACCTTATAAGTAGTTAAAGCTTAAAAGTAGGTAATACAAATTATTTTTTGGTATGGAATCTTGTACGTTGTCGGCAAAATAAAAATTAGAGTTATTCTCAAAATTAAGAACAAAAATAAAATAATACATAACAAGATAACAAAATCTACTTATAAAATAGTCTAAAATACTCTCCATCAGAAACAGGAAGTCAACCTTATAAGTAGTTTAAACTTAAAAACCTTGTATGTTGTCAGTAAAACAAAAATTAAAATAACTCTCAAAATTAAGAGCAAAGATAATAACAACCTTCATCAGTCTTACTTTTTTAATTGGAGCAATTGGGACAAATAAACTGCTCCTTATCGTCTTTGGATAGTCCAACACACATTTCATGGACATATTTGCCACAAACAGCACAAAGTCTCATGTCCATAACTTTGTCTTCCCCACAGATGAAACAAAACCAATTATCAGTAACATCTGGTACTTCATCCCAGGGACTATCAGAACTATCATCATACTTGGGTTCTTCGTCAAGGTCTGTCAGAACTATCATCATACTTGGGTTCTTCGTCAAGGTCTGTCTCACTGTCACTTGACTGTAAAACTTGTCTTTTTACTGTCTTTTTCTTTGCTTTGCCTGTTTGCCTTTTCGTAGTTATTTTAATTTTCTTATTTTTCGGTGCATACTTATCATCTTGGTCTAGTTTTTCTGGCGTTTTGTTAAAATTTTAGTTTTTCCGGGCTGTCTACCACGACGAAGACTTTTCTAGAAGTAGCTTTTGGAAATGGTCGAATTGTTTGTGGTAAAACTATTTTTGGTGTGTGTCCGGAATCAGAATCTACCGTTGTCATATCCAGAACATTAGATGTAGAAGCTATCTCTGCTGATTGTCTTGGTATTGTATTTGCTTGCTCGGATTCTTCCGCAGTCAAAATTGATGGTGAATTGATTCTAGGAGCTGCAGTTTCATTCGTGAATACTGATGCTGATGTTGAAGGCTCTGACTGAGGTACAGTAGATGTTGAAGGTAATGCGACCGTGGTTGAATCTGATGGTACTTTTGCAGCGACCGAGGGTGAAGTAATCGAAGAAACATCTTGCTTTTGGAGCTCACTAGTCATTTCTCTATCTGTTACCGCAGATCATAAAAAGTCGTCATCTGTAAAGATGTCCGGGTTATAGGGGTGTATCCCAGTTGATCGAAATCCACTCAAAATATTGGATAGACTAAAAGCCTGCGACATGATTGTGTTTACAAATCCAGGTATATTGTAGATCGTAACAGTTCGTCCTGGGTTACTGATCATCCAGTTATTCATGGCTGAATTATATCTAGTCTTGAAAGATGAATAGACGGAAACATCTAATGGCTGTAGCTTTCTGCTGCAGTGGGGGGGTATAGTCAGCAAAGTGACTCCATTTGATTTTGCATATTTAACGACTTCAACACTGATATGACTTTCGTGGTTGTCGAGGATAAGCAGGACTCGGTTATTAAGAGATGCGTTCGAATATTTCACAAAATGCTCCATGAATTTTACGAAACTCTTGGTTGTCATCCATCCACTAGGATAGGAGTCACCATGTGAGCCTGGAGGCCCACCAGCTACAAAGCATTCGTTGTATCTAACCCTAGGGAAAATGAAAAATGGAGGAAGAACATTTCCCAGAGCGTTCACAGCGATGCAAACGGTCACAAGGCTGCCGCGTTCAGCTGAAGTAACTTGTCCTACTTGACGCATATGCTTGCTCGCTATTACTTTGGGACACTCTTGTACAGTCGTACACCCTGTTTCATCACAGTTATAGATGTTATGTGCTTCAAATTGGTATTTTTCTCTAACTTCTTTGAGGTTCTCGAAGAAATCAGTAACGTTTTTTCTATTGAAGCTGGTTGATCTGGATAAACTGGTGGCTTCTGGGGTTCTCAAACTTAGTTCAGGGTTTCTTGTCATAAATCCCCGGAACCAATCTTTTCCTGCGCAGTTGTTGGAAGTCCAACAATCTGGAACCTTTTTGGAATTCATTGTTGCATATTCATATGCTAGCTGCATAGTCGCCTGTCTGGTTAATCCATAATTCATTTTGCTGCAAGCTATTCAACAAGCGCCTTCTCTTCTTCGATTGTAAATATCATAGATGTTTTAAACTGGCTTCCTTGTTCACTTATTTTAGTCAATTTAGACCTGTCTCTTAAATAATTTCTTAAGGTATTTCTGTCAATTCCATATTCCAAAGCAACACCTCGGATAGACTTTCCTTGATCAATGTCACCTAAAGCATTTTTTATTACTGACAGATCTAAATTGCTTCTCTTTCTAGTTGTTTGTTTTTTTCTATAGTTGAAGGGCATTCTCTGAAATAAAATGAATAAAATTTATTGCGGGAGAAACGACCCTGACAGAGAGGGAGAGATTACTCTGGGTAAAGTCTCCTCCCAACGCCAGGGTAATGTCTCCCACTCCACGCCATACTACCAGTTATTAAATTTAAAAAAACGCTATGACACTTGAATAAAAGCTGGCTGTCGTAAATATGACTAGAATAATTACACTTACGGTGTATATAAGTGGCGTGCTGGAATCTATCCACAGTAAAGAACAGAGATCAAATGTCGAAAACTGAATAAACTCACTTTCCAGGTACGAAAACGTGTTGCCACTTCTTACTTCCAAACCAAACTGCCGATTGTAACGGCGCTACGTGAGCGGGGTGGGAGGTGCCTATGACGTCTGAGAAGTGTGGCAATGTCGTAACATCTCGTGCCACAAATATTCTATGAGCAGCGGCTATTGTCTCCCACCTGCTAGACTCTCCCGGACTCCCCCTACATATTGACTACCAAAAAAAATATTGATGATAATATTAAAAATGCCGCTGAAATATAAAGGGTTGTCCAATAGGGATGCAGGAAAGTAAACGTCAATTTGACATAGACGCCATCTTTGTTTTCTGTCACCGACATGTCATTTTGTTAGTTGAATGTTTACCATTGATCGCTGTGGAGTCGTATTCGATTGAAGACCGCATTAAAGTTATTCAAGAGCACTACAAAAATGGTGCAAAAACAAAAAACACGTTTCGCGCGCTTAGTGAACATTTCGGTCGCAACAACCGCCCAAACGAAACAACGATCCGTCGTCTGGTGCGTAAATTCGAGGCAACAGGTTCTGTGGCAAATCTGCCAGGCTCTGGTCGGTCAAGGAGCGTTCGCACACCGGAAAATATTGCTGTTGTTAAGGAGAGTGTGAGAGACGATCCGAAACAATCAACAACGCGTCGATCCCAAGAATTGGGCATTTCGAGAACCAGTTTGCTCCGCATTCTCCACAAGGATTTGAATGTACACGCCTAAAAGATCCAATTGACGCAAGAGCTGCGTCGGGCCGACCATTTTTCGCGCCGAACCTTCTCAGATTGGCTCCTTGAACACCGCCAAATTGATGCCAATTTTTCATCAAAAATCATGTTCAGCGACGAAGCGCATTTCACTTTGAATGGGACGGTAAACAAGCAAAACTGCCGCATCTGGGCGAACGAAAATCTCCGTGAGTATCAAGAGCAGCCGATGCATCCTCGAAAAGTGACTGTGTGGTGTGCATTATGGTCAAAAGGCATCATCGGACCTTACTTTTTCGAAAATGCGGCCGGGGACGCCGTTACCGTCAATTCTGAGCGATATCACGTGATGATAGAGGACTATTTTTTGCCGCAACTTGAAGGAATCAATATGGACGACGTTTATTTCCAACAAGACGGTGCAACATGCCACACAACCAACGTCAATATCCATCGATTGCAGTCCTTCTTCGGTGATCGCGTGATTTCGCGCAGAGGAAATGTGCCATGGCCACCAAGATCGTGCGATTTGACTCCCTTGGACTTCTTTTTATGGGGATATTTGAAAAGCAAAGTCTACGTCAACAAACCACCCTCCAAGAACTCAAAAACAACATCATTGCCGAGATAAATGCCATAGAACCGACCATGTTGCAAAATGTCATTGAAAATTTCGACCATCGCGTGGACGTCTGTAAATCCAGTCGTGGTGAACATTTGAGCGATATTATTTTTCATACATAAATGAAATGAACCTTCAAAATAAAGTACCCAACTTGATTTGAATATCAATCTTTCTTGTTTTAATATGCGTTTACTTTCCTGCATCCGTTTTGGAAAACCCATTTTTCTTAAAATTATATGTTTCCATCAATAACAAATGAAAAAAATCAAATACAGCATCAACTTGAAGAAATTATATTTTCTGGGTGTAACAATTTCATATTTGAAATATGGGATGGCACCATGTTCGTCTAGCCAGTGAGACCATATGTATTTAAAAGTGTTATTTCGGTCTCAATGGTGACATCCATCAGTAACAACACTTCTACTATCATTGAGTGTATTATCTGGAGATTACGTTCAAATTGTACATCCATTTTCAACCATTTCAACTCTTTGGTCTTAGAGGAGACATTCTTTGGATTCTACACCGATTCATCGAGTCAAGGCAAGGATAATATAAAATTAAAGCATAGTTAAGGCTGGACATTACCAAACTTTCAACCAGCTTTTTACACGTTTTAAAGTTCAAAGTGAATCTATTAGCATATAGCATTAATTTGATGTAGTAGCTATTCGATACATGAGTAACATTTTTGTCAAATCTTAAACTAGAGTCGAAGATGACATCAAGATTTTTTACACGTTCCACAATAGGAATGAGCTCATAGTTGATGGTCAATGCAATCCTGTCTCTTACTTTATTATAAATGACAAACGAGCATGCAAGTATACTTTATCTGAAGTCACTTGAAATAGCATAAAAACTTTTGGTCGGCGCGTCCTTTGTAATTTCATGACGTATCATAGGCCTGCGGTCCTCGCCTTCGGAGCTGTCGCTAGAGTCATCTTGTAGAGGAATTACAACGGGATTTACAGGAGGCAAAACACAATATTCATTTCTTTTTCAATAATATGCCTAGAACACTGCTTCCATAGGTCTGTGGCAGCAATATGAGATACTGCATCTCTTATTGTGGCCAATAGCGATTCACTTAATTGAGGGGTCTGATTATGTTTTCTTACTTTTTTTTAAAGCAGCCCAGACCAACTCAATCGGGTTAAAAATGCAGTAATAGGGAGGTAGACGTAATACTTCATGGCCATTTTGCTGAGGCAGATTGTCAACAACATACTCTTTTTCAAATTTTTGTCTTTTAATAAGATCCAATAATATGGCTTTGGTTGATTTTTGTGGTATTTCCATTCCTTATCCTTCATAAAATCAATAATGTCTTGTTTTTTTGTGCCTGTATTCGGAATTTTGTTTTTCTGTCGGGAATGGTATGGCGCATTGTCCATAATAATCACTGAATTTGGGGAAATGTTTGGTATTAACTGCTGCTCTATCCACTTTTCAAATAAGTCGGAGGTCATGTCCTCATGATAGTCGGCACATGATTCTTTGATATTTTTGGAAGATAACAGCAAGGCATTAGGTATAAATCCATTTTCACTGCCAGCATGGAGAATAATGATTCGTTTTCCACGGTTGCATGGTGCATTTAAAATGCACTTGTTGCTGTCGTCAACCCAGCCGTACTGCACAACATCATGGGTATCATACCACGTTTCATCCAGGTAAATCAGATTTCTTTTCTGCTCTCTATAGATTTTAACTTTGTGCAAAAATTCTTGGCGCAATTCAACGATTCGAGACGACTCCATAATCACCATTCTTTTATCTAATTTTTTGTATTGAAAACCACACAGTTTTACAATACAGTGCAGTGAGTCTAAGCATTTGTAATTATAAAAATCTTCAGGATAATCTTTTAATTTATCCCGTATCATTTCCAACGTGGGCACCAAATTTTCTTTATAAAATCCGTATATTATACGACGAATATCTTCCTGAAAACCCACGTCTATTCTTTTTAATTTTTGCCCTATGCGCTTTCTGTGGAAGGAATGGTTGACTACATCTCCCCTTTTTATAACCCGATAAATGGTAGACCGACTGATTTTTGTCAGGATACAAATTCTGTTTAAAATTTGATTTTGCGAGGAATCTGGATTTTCGTTTTTTCAGACAATCATACATATTTAGGATTACTCTTTGGGTCTGTTCCTCTAAATCTTTATGAAAGAATTCTTCCTGCACAGGTTCATCAACCATCTCCTCGTGGCTTGGAGCATTTTCCCAAGGTCTCCAAAGAGCCATATTTAGGACACACAAGAACAATCAACACAACAATTAAATCAACAAGTAAACAGAGTATTCAAAAGTCAAAAACACACAAACTAATAAAATCTATGAAAAAACATGGACAGACTAAAGAAAACTCGTTTATTCACCGCTACACGGCACTGGCTAAACTGTTTCAATTTTCAGTAGCCACCTGCACTTATTCGGAGCTCTGAAATACACGCTTTCTCATTGGCTATGTCCACGCATAGGCGTGCTTTACTCCACGTGGACCGGTGAAACTGCCTTTGATCTTATACGAGGGATATTTGCTGCGAAATTTGGCGATTTTTGCAGCAACAGAGCGTGTTAAATATAGATATATAAAACGCACCCGGTATTTCACAGTGTTTCAAGTGACTTCAGATAAAGTATACTCTAATCCGTTATCAACATGCGACTCTGACAAAAATCAGTTACATTGACAAGATCGTAATTTACTTAATATGTCACTTCATCCAGATGAGACAAGTCAAAATTAAACGAAAGTTGCGTATCATCCGCATAAGTTTGTATAGCACACTGCTCGTTACATCAAAGTATATATCAAACACAGCAAAGGACCTAAAACTGGCCCCTGAGGGACACCGGAAGAAATGGCCACAGAAGATGAGACACCTCTAACTATCTTCACGTTTTGTTTACGATTAGTTAAGTAAATTTTAAAAAATCTAAGAGGAATGCCAGTATGTCCAATGTACTTTAATTTAACAAAATTTTGTGGTTAGCCCCGTGTCGAATGCCTTAGAGAAGTCAATCATTACTTAAACTATATTAATATGTATAAACTATATTAATATGTATACATATTATTAAAGATATTGTCTGTCAAATGAAGTAGTTAAGAAGTATCTCTAAGTATTCAATTAGTTGAAGATAAACAACCTTTTCTAATATCTTTAGAAAGAATCATAGTATGCTGACAGGTTGTAAGCGATCAAGAGTCACTGGATTTTTTATTTAGGCTAGAGGAAGTATTTTGCTTCTTTCCAGACATCAGGTAAACTCTGAACAGAACGAAATTTGTTAAAAATTGTTTGAACAACTCGTTACGCAATTTTGGATCTGGAAACATGTGGATTAGGAAAAACGGGTCCATTTTGAAT